ACCTAGGGTAGAACTAAACATGACTGACAAAAAAGTCAATGAAATGATTCCTAATGATACTCTGCTGTCCCATAGATCAGTGCTTAGCCCAATAGTCAGAAGAGAGGTCCATCCAGCAGCTGATGGGAGCAGAAGCAGAGACCCACAGCCAAACACACTAGGCAGAGCTCAGAAGATGGGGAGGAAAGATTGGAGGAGCCAGAGGGATTGAGGACACTAGGAGAACAATGTTCACAGAATCAACTAAGCAGGGCTCACAGGGACCCAGAGACAGAAGCGACAACTATAGACCCTGCATGGGTCTGCACTAGGTCATCTGCATACATGCTGTGGTTGTGTAGCTTAGTGTTCTTGTGGGACTCCTGACTGTGAGAGAGGGGATGTCTCTGGTTATTTGCCTACTTGTGGGACCCATTTCCTCCTACTGGGTTGCCTGGTATAGCCTTGATATGAAGGTTTATGCCTAGTCTTACTGCATCTTGTAATGCCATATTTGGTTGATAGGGAAATGGAAGAGTAATGGATCTGGGGGTTGAGGAGAGAAGGTTGTAGTCAGGATGTATTGTATGAGAGAAGAATAAAGAAAAAGAAGAAAAGAAAGAAATGTGAAAGTAATACAACTAGCATCATCACTGCCACAGTCTCTGATACTACCACTCATGATTATGGAGGCCTGGCAGCCGTCTGTACGAAAGCCCAAAAGTGAAACCGAAAGAGAGAGGCAGTCCCCTTCAAGTCTTGCTCTACCTCACCCCGTCACCCCGGCCACGCCCTCGCAAGCATGGTCAGGCACATCTGTAGCCAGCCCCTAAGTAGGCGTGGCTACAGCTTCCCCTACAGAGGCTCTGTGCCTTGGCCTGTGGTAAAGCAGTTTATCTTAGTAGAAGCATGTGGCAGAGGAGAATAGTTCACTAATGGCATTCAGGAAGCAAAGAGAGAGTAGAGGGGCCAGAGTCCCCAGATCTACTTCAAGGGAACATCCCTAAATGATCTAGCTTTCTTCTCCTAGGCCTCACTCTGAAATATTTCACCATCCTCACTGGGGCCACAACCTTTAGCACATCATCTTTAGGGGACACTGAAGACCTAAACTGTTGCAGGATTTCCACCTGAACACTAAACTATAACATTCTGTTTTAACTAACTAACTAACTAACTAACTAACTAACTAACTAACTAACTAGTCTTTTTGTGTGTGTTCATGAACGTGCACACATGCATCAACCTCAGAGGCAATTTGTGGGAGTTGTTTATTTCTCTCTTTCTACCATGTGGGGCCTGAGGATTGAACTCAGGTTGTCAGAATACAATCTACAGACCCAGAGAGGTCATCTAAAGAGCCATCTTTCTGGCCCATAAACAAGCAAGCAAAACAAACAAGTAAGTTTTGTGTGCATGTATGTGACACAGGGCAGGTGTGTGTGTATTCTCGCCTGCCACTTTTGAACTCAAGTTGTCAGGCTGATACAGAAGTACCCTCATCTGCTGAATCATCTTGCCAGCCCTGAATGACAACATTCTGGCTCTTACTACCAAGGGCTCATGTTTGTCTCACAAACACTGTGTATTTGTGTTTCTTCAAGAGTCCCTGCTGTAGCTACACTTCCTGCATTGCTCACAGGAAGTGTCCTTTGAGACTCAAGGAAGCTTTGGGCCTTTAAAAATAAAAGCCAAGCTACACACTACAAGACACAACGGTACAGGACAAGCATTCCTGTCTCATAAAGAGGAAAATGTTAAGTATCCCAGTTTACCGTATTGCGTTGGCATTGCACAGAAATTAACACCCATATTGGTCTAGAAATGTTGAACTTAATTTTTTTTCCATTTGTACAGGGGTAACGCACTGTATTAAATATATAAGGTGTTATCTACATGGGTTTGATTACAAAAACTAATAAAGTATTCTCTAAATAAAAAAGGAGAAAAGTGTTAATTGCCAACTTGACTGAATCTATTATCACTCATGAGAAAAACCTCTGTGCTCACTTGTGAGGGACTGTCTATGTCAGGGGAGCCTGTGGGCATGCCTTTGAGAGATTTCCTGTTTTTAATTGAGTGGAATCCATTGTGAGTGGACCCATTCCCTGGGCAGAGGTCCAGGACTGTATACAGAAGAGAAAGTGAGCCGAGTAAGCATTCATTGTTTTGTTCTTGATTGTGGATGTAATAGAACCAGCTGCTTTAACCACCTGCTGCCTTGACTTCCCCTCCATAATGGACTGTATCCTTGAATTGTGAGCCAAAATAAACCTTTTCTCCCTGACATAGCTTTTGTCAGAATATTTTATCACAGAAAATATAAAAGAAAACTAAGATAAGAAGGGAGAATTGGACTCAAGAATGATAGAAATCTAGCGTGGAACACATCGAATCTTATAGTTCCATTTCTAGCATCTTGGGTACAAGGGCTTAGGTAGTCTGTCCCCTGTGGCCTATCTGTTTGCAGTATCCATGGTATCTCCCTTAATCTGGCTCTACTTCTGCCTTTCTGGCATAACTCACTTTTTGGAATCTCGATTAGAGATTTACCTTCATTCTCACAGATTTGTAGACCATCTTCTCAAGGGTTGCCTTCAAGGACTCCAAACCTACCATGCTATTTGACCTTCCAGTTTTCCTTTGAAATTTTGGTCAAAGCCTCTTTGACCCCACAACTGTTACATCTGTGTACCCACACCCCACACCCCAACCTCATGAGAATGATAGCCAGGTACAACCCTGGCTCCAAAAATAGCCGTGCCATCTCAGATCATGAGCACAGTGTCCACTGAGTACCTGATGGGTTAAACACACTGGAGGGAATCCCAATCCCGGGGAAATGATTCCATAGCCAGTCCTGTGAGTGTAGAGTGCTCTGGAGCTCTCTTCTCAAACAAGTCTTTGGATCTGATGTGGGTGGTGTATTGCTGATTCCTGAGGTGCCCTAAAGGCATCTTTCCTATCATCCTGTTGTAAAGTATTTGGTCTATTTTTAATGCACTAATTTAAAGGCTCACAAGTAAGACCATGTCCTTAGTTTGTCTAGAGTTGAGCCTGTGGAAATGAGAACAACACGATGGAAAACCCATGGCAGAGATAGTCTGTTCACCTCATGGTATCTAGGAAGCAGAGCATGCGTGGTGGGGGGTTGGAGTCCCAATATCACCTTTGAGTGCACACTACTACTGACTTCCCACTAGGCCACCATAGCACCACAGGGTAACAACAAACTTAGCACATGACATAAGGGCGATATCTTAAGATCCAAATCATCACCTCATCATTCAGACCACTGTCACCATAGCCACCACTTCCATTACCTTCTTCTCTATCACTGCCATGATCATTGTTAACAGCATCACTGTCATTACTGCTATTACTACCATCATAGCGTCCTCACCTTCCCTTTCACTATCACTGCTGGTGTCACCATTACTATGTCATACGACCAACATGACCATCACAGCTATCATCACCACCATAACCTCCTTCAACTTCCCTTTTACTAAACCACGGTGGTCATCATTACCACTACCGCCATCACCTTCACTCACTGCTACCACCATGGCCACCACCAGCAGCATTAACTCCCTCGCTTCCCCCTTCACTATCATCATGACAATCACCACTGCTATCTCACTATCATTATCTTTATCATCTCCTCCTTTACTATCACTGGCATCACCACCATAACTATTATTACTATGGAAAGCACCTTCTCCATTATCACCACCACTGTCATCACCAAGACCAACACAACCACCAACTCTCTCACCTTCTTTACTATTGCTCTTACCTCTACCACCACTGCCACCACCAAGAGCGCCACCGCCACCACCATCACCCCGTTAGCATCCTCACCTTCCCCGTCACCAATCACCACTACCATCACTATTGCCATCACCACAATGACCGCCCCTATCCCACCACCACTGTTAACTTCAGCGTCTTATTCCTCACTATTACTGTCATAGTCATCATTCCCACCACCACCAAACCTCCCCAATCCCCATTACCATCACCATCACAAAATTGCCGCTTCTCCCACTGTTACCATCACCACTACCAACACCGATGTCGCTCACCGCCCCCTCCATCACGATTAGCTTCCTCAGTTTCCCATTTTCTATTACTATGATGTCATCACTATCACCAATGCCATTAACGTCCTCACCTTCCCTTTCATCATCCCTGCCACCATTACCACATCACCACAGTCACCACAATCACAACCACCTTCACCTCCCTCACCTTCTGCTAGGTTTTGAATGAGAAACGTCTCCCATAGGCTCATGTATCCCAACACTTCATTATTGGGGGAGGAGTATGGAACATTTTAGAACTGGAACCTTGCTGGAGAAAGTATGCCACTGGGGGTGGGCTTTGGGGATTTAAATCCTTGCCTCATTTACTGTTCTCTCTCTGCTTCCCGTGTTATGTGAAGTGGGACCAGCCAGCTTCTTGTGCCAACTGCCATACTGCCCCTTCCCTTCCACGAGGGACTCTATCCCTCTGGACAAGTAAACCAGAAAAAAAAAACCTCTTTCTTGAGTTGTGATTGGTTATGATATTTTGTCACAGCAACAGAAAAGTAACTAATACAACTTTCATTTTACCATTACTGCCATTATCACCATGGTCACCACCATCATCACCACCCCAACGCCATGATCGTTAACTTCATCACCTTTAATTTCACTCTCAGAATGACCAAAGACCACCGCCACCACCACCGCTGCCACCAACACCATTGACATCATTATCAACGTCTTTATTTTCCTTAGATATCCTATCACTGTCACTATCACCATCATTATCATCACTTTCTCTTTCCTATCAGCACAGTTGTCACCTTCACCATTATTGCCACCATGTTCGCCACCTCCACCACCTCTTATCTTTGTTGCTGTCACCCTTCAGTGACAACCACTCCTGTAGTCATCACCATTTGTGCTACAAAGGCCATGACTATGGTCCAGTTGTTGATAACTTCCATCACCCTGGAGCCCAAGGCTTACCTTTCCCACATAGTGGGGCAGTGAGGCATTTTTCTCTTCATCTATATGCATTTGGTTCCAAATCCAGTCTCTCTTCTGGCGGTGGTGGGCAGGCAGCATGTTGGGGGTGTCTAGCTGGGGAAGGTTAGGGCCTGCCATTGCCG